GGTAACTCTTAAATCTCTTTCTTATCATGAATTATTTAAACTTGTTGATGAGATGACAATTGATTTAGAAAAACTTAGTTCAAAGTATGGTGTGCTTAAAAAGAAATATAAAAATTCCATCATTGAAAATAAGTCTTTATTAAATGAAATTTCTTGCTTAAAAGATATGATCATAATGTTGTTGAAATTGATGTACCTTGTGAAAAGCATGTATTTGATTGTGATGAGAAAAATGCATTAATTGATAAAGTCAAGTTTCTTGAGCATGATTGTTGTGAAAAAGATAAATTAATTAACTTGCTTAAAGAAAATGAATCAGAACTTGGTAGGGCTAAGGAGTCTATTAAAAGGTTAACCATAAGTGCTCAAAAATTAGATAAATACTTGAAGGAGGTAAGTCATATGGTGATAAAAAGAGGATTAGGCTATATTGATGAATGTTCTACACCTTCAAGTTCTAAAACAATATTTGTTAAAGCATCTCCTATCATGTCTAAATCTAACACATGTAAATTTGTATCTAAGTATAATAAATCTAGATTTGTGCCTATATGTCATTATTGTGGTGTTGAAGGTCATATTAGACCTAAGTGCTTTAAATTGAAAAATTCTCAAAATATTCATTTACGAATAAAAGTTTCTCAAAATACAAAGTTTAACCATGTTTTAAAAAATAATTTCTCAAATAAAAATAGAATACACAAATTTAGTCCAAGAAATAAATTCTTGTACAATGTTGTTTGTTTCTCGTGTGGTAAGTTTGGACATAAAGATTATTCTTGTTACTTATCCAAATAAAATGTTTTTAATATGAATGCAAACATGAAATGGATTCCTAAATTTGTGAACACTAACTTTCTAGGACCCAAACAAGTATGGGTACCAAAAGGTCAATTTTGAATATCTTTGGTTTTAGGTTTGTTTGAAAGCCTCCAAGAAAAATAAGTGGTACTTGGATAGTGGTTGCTCAAGACACATGACGGGTAATCCATTCAAGTTTGTGAATCTTTCCAAGAAGGATGGTGGCTTAGTAACCTTTGGTGATAACAAGAAGGGTAAAATAATTGGTAATGGTACTATAGGTAGTGACTCTTGTACTCTCATTGAAAATGTATTGTTAGTTGATGGTTTAAAGCATGACTTACTTAGCATTAGTCAATTATGTGATAAAGGTTTTAGAGTTGTATTTGATAAGAATAATTGCATAAATGAAAATGCTAGTGATAGGAAAGTTTTGTTTGTAGGAAATAGAGATGATAATGTGTATACTATTGATTTGAATGATTGTCCTACAAATGATAAATGTCTTTCGGTTTTGCTTGATAACTCTTGGCTATGGCATAGAAGACTAGGACATGCTAGTATGCACTTGATTTCAAATATTTCAAAAAATTCATTAGTTAGAGGTCTTCCTAACTTAAATTTGAAAAAGATAAAATTTGTGATACTCGTCAAATGGGCAAGCAAACTAAGTCTTCTTTCAAATCTAAAAATATGATTTCTACTACTGGAACTCTTTCAACTACTTCATATGGACTTATTTGGCCCTTCTAAAATAGCTAGTTATGGAGGAAACTATTATGCTTTGTGATAGTTGATGATTTTTCAAGATTTACTTGGGTTTTGACATAAGAATGATGTTTTGAAAAGATTTGCTAGTTTTGTAAAAAGAGTTCAAAATGAAAAAGGGTTTTTAATTACTAAAATTAGGAGTGACCATAGGGGAGAATTTGATAGTGTTGCCTCTGAAAAATTTTGTGAAGATAATGGTTTTTCTCATGACTTCTCCTCTCCAATGACTCCTCAACAAAACGGTGTGGTTGAAAGGAAAAATCGTACTTTACAAGAATTTGCTAGATCAATATTAAATGAGTATGATATACCTAAATATTTTTGGGCGGAAGCCGTTAATACCGCTTGTTATATTTTAAATTGAGTTTTAATTAGACCCCCATTGGATAAAACTCCTTATGAACTTTGGCATAATAAAATTCCAAATGTTGGGTATTTCAAAGTTTTTGGTTACAAATGTTTTATTTTGAACAACAAACAAAACGTTGGAAAATTTGATTAAAAAACGGATATTGGTATTTTTCTTGGTTATTCATCTACTAGTAAAGCTTATAGAGTTTTCAATAAGAGAACTTTAGTTATTGAGAAATCTATGAATGTGGTATTTGATGAATCTTGCAATAATATTTCTAATGAGTCTATTTGTAGTGATGATTTAGAAAGAAATTTTGGAGATTTACTTGTTAATGATAAAGACAAAGAAATTGGTTCAAGTAAAGAAGAAGTGAACTTAAAGGAGGAAGGTTATTCATCCATGCCAAAAGAATGGAGTGAGTTTGAGATGAGTATGATGGGAGAACTTCGTTTCTTTCTTGGACTTCAAATCAAACAACTCAAGGATGGTATCTTCATCAATCAAGAGAAATACACTAAAGATTTGCTAAAAAGGTTCAAGTTCAACGGAGGTAAGATTGCAAGAACTCCCATGAGCATATCCACTAAGCTTGACAAGGATGAAAAAGGTAAAAGTGTGGATATTAAAGCTTATCGAGGTATGATTGGATCTTTACTTTACTTGACCGCTAGTAGACCCGATATTATGTTTAGTGTATGTCTTTGTGCTAGATTTCAATCTTGTCCTAAAGAATCTCATTTACATGACGTTAAGAGAATATTTAAATATTTGCTTGGAACGATTGATTTAGGATTGTGGTATCTTAGAAATGTTGAATTTAAATTGGTAGGATATTCTGAGCGGATTTTGCCGGAAGCTTACTTGATCGTAAAAGTACTAGTGGAACTTGTCAATTTCTTGGTAGTTCTTTAGTTTCTTGGTTTAGTAAAAAGCAAAATTCTTCCTTATCTACTACGGAAGCGGAATATATTGCGGTTGCTAATTGTTATGCTCAAATTCTTTGGATGAAACAAACTCTTTGTGATTTTGGATTAAAGTTTGATAGTGTGCCTATATTTTGTGATAAAACAAGTGCTATTAATTTAACCAAAAATCCTATTCATCATTCTAGAACTAAACATATTGACATTAGACATCACTTTATTAGAGAGCATGTGCAAAATGGACATATTATTCTTGATTTTGTAAACTCTANTATTTTCACCAAGCCATTGAATGAAGAAATTTTTTGCAAAAATAGGCTTGAGCTTGGTATTATTCGTTGTGATATATCTTGAATTTTATAATCTTGTTTATAATTATTGAATGCATGTTCTTAGGGGAGCAAATATGTCATTCTTAAATGTATTCTTTTTCGATTCTTCTTTTTAATGATTACAAAGGGGGAGAAAATTAAGAAAAATATGCTCAAAGTTTGTTGTTTTATAATTTATGAATCATTTACTTGTTATGATGTTTCATAATTTCTTGAGGCATTAATATAGGGGAGAATATGCTCTTGAGTGAAATTAATGATAATATATTAGCATGTATTTATATTATTACATGGATGGTGTATTACCCCGGTTTTTATGAATTTTTCTTGAAATGGTTTGTCATCCTAAAAAAGGGGGAGATTGTTGGCTTTTTGGCCCTTGATCTCACTTCAATTAATTTCAATCAATTAATTGATGTTTTGATGATAACAAACCTACTTTTAATTATTAACTATTTTTCAGTTTTTTGAACTGTCCACAGTATAAGGTCGGGAATAACGATTACAACGACTTCTCAATTACTCAAATCAGAGCTAAAACGAAGAAATTAGAGTCGAGACAACATACCCGACGTGATGATGTGGCAGCAAAATCAAAATAATTGACAAATCAAAATATATCAAAGTATGACATTTATAATGTTGGAAGAGTAACAAATGGTGGAGTTTTTCTTATTATTATATTTTTAAATAAAATTATTTTTACAAAATATAAATTTGAATCTAACCGTTACTCACATCCATTTTTATTATTACTATATTATATTATCATATTATTATATTTTAAAATCTTGGTAGTTACTCACATAATTTTTATTATTATTATTTTGAATTTTCATTTGACCGTTGCTCACCTAACTTTTTATTATTATTATATTAAAATTTTCAAATTAATGAATTTAGAAAATTTTCTTATTTATTTACTTTTAATCTCCACCTTCCATTATTCCTAACACAATCCAATGGTCAATATTAATTCCTACATTTTACCACTTTTCTCCTCCATATAAACTCATCTTTCCCCACATTTAAAAAAAAAACATAACTTGCATATATTCTCCAATCCTTATTTGTTCAAAGTCTCCATTGTTTGTTGTTCTCTCCAAGCTTACAAGCTTATTTCTCTTCATCTTATTCTTGAGAGGGATTATTATTGTATTGTGAAGAAATAGTGGTGAGTCCCAAATTGTAAATTACTCTTTGAGAGAGTTGTGGTGTGTTATTATCAAACTCAAATACTTGTATCAGTTTGATCCTGCACCATGGAAAGGATTGAGTTTGCTCTTGAACTCGTAAAAAGAGCGGTGTAGCGATTTGGCTCTGATCCGTGGAAAGAGTCGAGAAAGTTCTTTATTTAAATTCCCAAGAGGCGCTTGGGGAGTGGAGTAGGTCGAGTTTGACCGAACCATTATAAAACTACAGTGTCATTTTCTCTAACTCTTTCCTATTTAATTTCAAAATTATTATTGTGATTTATTGCATGTTCTACTAGATTATTATTTTTACTTGAATTATTTTGATCTAGTAATTATCATCTTCTACTTATTTGTAAAAAGTTTCATCATTAGAAAAATTAATCAGGTTTAAACACTTTTATCATTAAAACCCTATTCACCCCCTTTAGGGTTGCCATACCGATCCAACACATCATACATATTTCATGCAAAGTAAACATATATGCTCAACGGGACGATAACATCCATCAACTCCCAGAGTGCAGAGTTCACAAGTTCTCATCCCCCTTTCAGCATGAAATAAACATATACATATAAAGCGGAAGTTAAAGCATAATTGTGACACTCAGATGATTCTCATAATACTTCTCATAAAACATCCATAATTTTAACAAACAAATTACCTACAATCAAACATGGAAAAGTACTACCTAAGGTAATTAAACTAGCATGCATGCATATCCAAGCGACTCCTACAAGTATTTCTTCCTAAAGATCCGTGTGGTGACTTACTTGGATGATGCGTGCCCTTACGTTGCGTTTCCACACAATTAGCATATCAAAAGGTACTGATTTTTCCTCAATAGGATTCTATTTCATATAAAGTAGAGTTAGGATTGGATTCGAGTGGAAAATAGGGAAAACAGGACCTGAACAGGACGAAAACGGGCTTACACATGCTTCCACGCGCCTGCCATGAGCATGGACAAACTCACTCACAGGTTCCACGCGCACACGTTATTCTGCAGCCGCGGGTCGTCGGTTCGGTTTGGGTGGACTGCAGGTCGTAGCGGTTCGTCTCATCGAGCGAGTGTTGGATTGGTTGAGGGACGCGGGCTGAGTGTCGCCGCTGTGGACGCGTGTCGCTGGAAGACTAGAACTGCGTCGCTCCAGAAGGCATTCAACGAGTGTCCGGTGGCTATCAGCGCACGAGAGACCTTTCGCTGGTTGACACATGGCACGTTGTCGTCTTCTCTCTCCTCCTAGTAGAAAAATGGGTTTCCAATCAGTTTTTCGACGTTCTTCTCATTTTTCTATCTCTCGATTCTTAATCCAAACCGTAATGACCTCATCAACAAAGTTTTAGATCATACTACAACCTACGCGGCAATATTTTTTTCTTGATTTTTACTTAATCATACGATGAGTTATGAGCGTCAGAAAGAGATCTGATAACATCCTTACCGTTCTTGGAAAGATTCTCAAATCTCAACATTTCGTCCGATTTCCTCACAAAATCAGTGGTGGATCTTCCCTAGATGATGATTGTAAACTTTAACATTCTTTTCCCAAATAAAGATCTCAGATATGAAGAGTAACGTTCGAGATCTTACCTTGCGGATTTCTCTCGGATCTTGACGGAAGATGGAACCTCAACAACACGAGTCTTTCTTCTCTCCAAGAAGAAGCTCTAGAGTGTTAGTCTCGGTAGAGGATGAATTTCGTTAGTGATTTTCCGACGAGGACTCCGGCGATTTACTTTTTCCTCTCAAGTTTTCTCTCAACTTTCTTGCTCACATTTTTCTCTTTTGCAAGTACTCGGTGGAGAATCCTCAAAACCCCTATAATGGGTTGAGGAGAAAATGCCCCTTTTGCCCCTCTGATTTTGATCGTATTGTTTTTTTTTTAAAAAAAGAGCATTACAGGTTGTAGGAAGTGACATTTTTAGGGCACATCATGTTAGGAAGAGGCATTTCAATAGATCCAACTAATGTCAAGGCAGTCATGGATTGCATTAACCTACCTCGGCAACAAAAGTGAGAAGCTTCTTGGGTTTAGTAGGTTATTACTGAAAATTCACCCAAGACATCTCTAAAATATCTTCCACCCTCACTAAGTTAACAAAGAAAAGCAGGGTGTTCTTATGGGACGACGCTTGTGAGTAGAGTTTCAAGAAACTCAAACACCAACTAGTAACAGTGTCGATACATACTATGCCAGATGGTTCATGCAACTTTGTGGCATATAGTGATGCATCGTGTTAGGGGCTTGGTTGTGTGTTGATATAAAATGACAGAGTTATAGCCTATGCCTCAATACAATTAAAAAAAATATATATGAGAAGAACTATCTGACACACGATTTAGAACTAGCAGCAGTAGTGTTTGCTCTAAAAATATGGCAACACAACTTGTACGGTGAGCGCATCCAGATATTTATGGACCAAAAAATTTGAAATATTTTTTAACTCAGAAGAAGTTGAATATGAGACAAAGGTGCTGCTTAGAGATATTCAAGGACTACAACATTGAGATATTATACCATCTTGGTAAGGCTAATGTCGTAGGAGACGCCCTGAGTAGGAGGACAGTTAATTCTTTTGCACTAGTGACCAAACAACCAAAATTGGAGGAAAATATATTTAGAGTTGGGATAGAAGTAGTGGACAGAGGTGCCACTAGCAGGTTGAATCAGCTCAGGGTTCAACCAGACTTGATTCTCGCTTAGAATAGTAATTACCGCTTATCTTTGATGAACCAGTAGAGTGAGACAGAAAAAGAAGATGGTTACACCGTGTACACTGATGGTGGACTATTAAGGCAAGGACAACTATTTTTTCCTGCAGATGAGCAGATAAAGGAAGACCGTCTAATCGAAGCACATGAGTATCCTTTTTTTCTAGTTCACTCTAGTAGTCCTAATATGTATTAGGATAGGAAAAAGTGCTACTGGTGGCCAGGGATAAAATGTGATATAGCAAGCAAAGTTAGTAGATATTTAACTTGCCAGCAAGTGATGGCCCCGAGAAAGAGACCATCAGGCCTCCAGTAGTCCCTGAATATTCCGAATGGAAATGAGAGGATACCTTTATGGATTTTAGTTCAGGACTACCTAAGACTAGGGGAGGTTACAACATTATATGGGTGACTATCGATAGACTCACCAAGTTAAGACATTTTATCTCTAACAAACAACATTTACTGGATTGTACATGGAAAGGTTTTTAAAATTACTTAGCATTCCGACCTCTTTTATGTCAGATAGAGACACACATTTTACTTCCCACTTATGGAGGAGTTTGTAGAAGGTTATGGAAATTTAGTTGAGATTCAGTATGACCTTCCACCCACATACTTGACGAGCAAGAAGAGAGAGTAAATCAGATGTTGCGAGCATGTATCATTGATTTTGTAGGTAGTTGGAATGAATATCTACATCTCATAGAATTTTCCTATAACAATAGGTATCAGATGACCATTAGGATGACATCTTTTGAGGTCTTATATAGGTAGAGGTGTAGGTCACCTATTTACTGGGAAGTGGTTGGAATCCCATCGTTGATTGGAATAGCGTTGTTTTAGATTACTAATGCAGTGGTACAGATGATAAGAGAAAGGATTCAGACTGTGCAGGTCTGGTAGAAAAGCTATGTAGATCAACGTATGAAGGATTTGGAGATTGCCGCAAGCGACCATATGAAAATTGCACCCATGAGATGGGTGTTGAGGTTCGAGAAGAATGGCAAGTTGAGCTTGAGGTTTATTGGTCCCTTTCAGATCCTCGAGAGGATAGGACCTGTTGCATATAAATTGGTGTAGCCTCCTGCCCTTTCTGTTGTACATAGTGTATTCCATGTATCGATGCTACAAAAGTATGTTCATGATCCTTTCCGTGTGATAAATTATGAGGCACTCCCGTTCAGGAAAGATATGAGCTACGAAGAAAGACCCATCAGAGTGTTAACCACTAAAGTAAAGAAGTTGCAGATAGGGAGATTCAGTTAGTCAAGACTTTGTGGCAAAATCAGTGCACTAAAGAAGCCACTTGAGAATGTGAGGATGAAACAAGAATCTCGTATCCTGAGTTATTTTAGGTTGTAATTACTTACGAGAACGAAAGTCTTTAAGTAGGGGAAAATCACATTTTCATTTAAGATTGTGCAACATTGTAACGACCCAAAATTTTCTACTTAATTTAAGGTCGCTACTGTATACGTACTATAAACATTGAATGCGGAAGACTTCATTTAAATTCCATAAAACATAACCTTTAACTTAAAACACAGCCATGGACTTACGTGTTTCGAAAACATCATTAAAACGACACAACAAAAGCCTCGAAATAAAATAAATAAGCGTTTAAGTTTAAAACATCCTATTCTATCCTAAGTCTAAGAATATAAATGCCACTATCCTATGCATGTGCCATGATCTTGAGTTGCGATGCCGTCGTTAGCCGTACAGGAATGTCTTGCCTTAACCTGAAAAATGTAGTAGCACATGGCTTGAGTATTTAAAGAAATACTTAGTAAGTGACCCCACTATTGGGGTTAAATGCAACAATCACATGCAATGAAATGATGGGACCTATCTTTCATTTCGTTTCGTTTCGTTTCATTTCATTTCGTTTCGTTTCGTTTCGTTTCGTTTTCCCTACGGTGCAATCCTAACGGGTAATCGTGGACGTGTACCATATACTCTACATGCAACCCATACGTGCGAGTATGAGCTCACCAGCTAGTTCGCACACCGCTAGGCCACTGTCCCTAGCCGGTGGGCATGCTCTGGGGGCCCACCGGGACCCGTTAAAACTAAAACCGTCACGGCAGCGATATGCAGGGCATAACGATCGTTGTCCTGCCATTTGGATGTATGCATCCGTACCCTCGTGATGGGATAGGGGTATCCCCCAAATGCATGATCACACAATATGCATGAGGTCCCACTGGTCCTACAGTCATCATTTAATGAACATAACCCCGTGTCACATTTTCATACTTACATGCCATTCTCATTCTCATTTCGTTACATATCATTCATATTCCTAGCGGGGTTATGTATCATGCAATTTACCGTATTTCATGTCATACAATTCATTCAGTTACATTCCAATACTCATACAACAAGCCATAATCGTACAAGGGCCACACATCGTCATATGCATTCATATCACATCAACTAAGCAGCATAAATGTAACGACCCTAAATTTCCACATACTCAGAGTCGCTACTAACGTCTCATGCTCATCTATAATGCGGAAATATAACTCTTACATGAACATAATTGATAACGAAAATTTCAGAAAAAAAAAACGTTTAAAACAACTTCTTCTCTGAAAAACACAGCCATGGTCTTACGTGTTTAAATATGAAATACTGAAATTTAGAGAAAACAAAAACAAATACAAAATAATTTAAAACAATGGAATGCAAAACAACTTATTCTAACTTAAGACTAGAAATTTAAATATGAGTCTACCCTATGCACGTGCCACAGTCTCTACTCGCGATGTCGCCGTCCTCTGTACAAGTGCACCTTGCCTTTACCTGAAAAATGAAGTGGCACACGGCCTGAGTATTTCAAAGAATACTCAGTAAGTGACCCCACTATAGGGGGCCATGCAAATGCAAACACATGCAATCATGATTTAGGGACCTATCTCTAATCATCTTAGGGGTGACCTCCAGTCTCGAACAAATTGAATGTGTAGTACTTCCCTACACACGACTCACACGTGCGAGTGTGAGTCCCCAGGGCGCTCGCACACCCCCTGGACCCTCTGGTCAAGCTAATCTGTAGCGACGTCCGGAGGTCAGCGGAACCCCATAGTGTCATGCGCCTCATGAACACCCTCATCTGTGTGCTTTCACACCTGTGCGCATTCGCGCTCATCATAAGGTGCGCGTCCGCACTCATCATCTCTAGGGGAAGTAGCCCTATGCTTATGAACATACAAAATGCATGAGGTCCCTCTAAATCCATCGTAATGTCTCTTCTGACACAACCCTCTAGTCTCATCTCTTTGTTACTCTAGGTAACGCATACTCGTGGATATTTATATTAATATCATTTTCATGCTCTTAGGGTTGTGTCATACGTCGATCTAACGACGTGATGCAATATGACACTCATCATCATTTGGCATGCTCAATATGGAAAACAACATCATATTAAGGTAAAAATCATGCAATCATCATGCTCATCATAATGCCACAACGTGCGTCAAACATATCAAGCGTCACTCAACAAAATATGTATATACCGCACATATCATCAAGCATCATAATCCACACATCATCATAACTCATACAATTATTTAGCCTATCCTATAGTAAGGCCACTTACCTGGTTAGCTTATACGGGTGTGACCAATTTATCCTTAATGAAAGTTCGATTTTTCCCTTTGTATCCAAGCCAACCTATAAGAATCCATAACATCAATTTCATGTTTAATTCTCTAACTCCTACAAGCGTTCATGTGCTAAACTTCATGCGAGCATTAAAGACTTTATGAGCATTGAATATATATATATATATATATATATATATCTTGGTATCTTTTTTTTTTACTCTATGTATTTACTCTGTAAAATTGTTTCTGTTCACCAAATCTTCCATTTTCCTCCCCACTGTCTCTCTCTTTTCTTTCCTGTATTTAATTAGTTAAATATATATAATTTCCTTTCCTTTACCTCTTTCTTTTCTCCTTTTCTGTACTTAATTAAATATATGTATATATATTTTTCTTTACCTCTCTCTCTTTAATTCATTTCAAACATCTCTCGATTTAATTCTTTTCC